ATGCAAAGATCCGACACCACCTGGCGACACGGATGCAGGAATCCCCATGGCCATGGGTTGCTGGCTCCTAGTGCCGGGGACCTATCGACCCGATATCAAGAGCATCTACAACTGGACGCCTCAAACCTCTCTCATACGTTGGGTGGACGGCCCGGTCATTGACTGGTAAAAAAACAAGATCTAGATGAATGTCTCAAACCGGCCTCAAACACCCTGGCTGACCGGTAGCCCTCATATCCAAACCAAATGTGGGGTACATATTGGGAGGCCTGGGCGCGTCCATCACGCCAGACCTAGTTCACGCTGGCACATCCGATCCCACATATATTCGTCCTCATCCCCTCCTCGGACCAAACTCTAGCCACTTCACTCCACTCCCCTCCACTCAGCCAGCCAAGCTCCCGTCCGACGATCTATGACCTTTTTCGGCATGACGGGCAGCATATCCGAGTCCTACACCTTCAAATCCGTCGACCCTGAGCTCATCTCGCGCGACCCCGAGGAGGAGATGGCCGTCCAGCTTACGCTTCGCCTGTCCCGGGAGGAGGCTGCTTGACGGCAATGCTTGAACTCCTTCCGTCAGAAATCCATTGTGTCCACCCAAATGTCGCATAGCCGCCGCGCCAGCAATTTACCCAGTGATTAGTAAAATGCTTGTGCGTTGATACATGCTACAATCCATATAAATGGATCAAACAATGATCTTCTCCAAGGTCGAAGTTCATTTCTCCCTCGTACGTCCGGACGTGTTTGGACATCAACCGGGCAGCGAGCCGCTCCTCAAAATCTAACCGTCTGGACAGTCCGGGCTCCCTCAAATCTAGCCCATATATGTGGCAAAAATGTAATTGTTCGGACTATCCGTCATATTATCTCCAACATCCGGTCCCAACATAAAAACCCTATCCTATGATGCACCCTTCCCTTTATCCTGTCAGACCCTCTCATTCCTGCTCGATTTCTCACTATAGTGGGACATTTCTTGCTGGATCTCTCTTCTTTAAAACTAGATGAAGTCACCTCACATTCGCCATGGCACCCTCCCTCCTTCACACCTTAATTCCCCACAGACCGCCAAGGAGGAGTCCCCTCCAACCACCCCACTCAATACGCCATGTTCCCCTCCCCCATGTTCACGTCGATCCGCCACCACCATCAAGGGGGACAAGGCGTGCTCCGGCGGTGAGGCCCCTTGACCCAATAAGGCAAATCCTATGCTCCCGAGCCGTTGCCATGTTGTAACATATAGTTGAATGTCTTGCATTACCACGAAATGTAAATTAAACCCATTAAGCTATGCATGAAGGGCGGCCAACCAGTTATGCCACGTGGCGCAAGCTGGTTGCCCGCGGTGAGAAATCTTTTGGAATATTTTTAGATGAAGGTGTGGATTATTTTGTAAATGTATTTTCTTCTTTTTAGATGGAGGTGAGGACCTCTAGTATTTTATAAATTGAAGGGTTTTACAAAGTGGCACTTGCTGGTAGGCTACAGTGGGTTTTTTTTACTTTTTTATAGGTGAAGGTGAGGATTTTTTTTCTGAGATATTTTTTAGACGGAGGCGAGAACTCTATGTATTTTTTTAAATGAAAACGTGCGTACAATTTCCTCTCAAGCGGCGCCACAGGGTGGCGCCCCAACCATAGTATGATGTATATTGTGGGGCATGAGTGTCCTTTATTAACTCTTGAAAGTTGAAATAACGAACCAATGCATTTACCCTTCTAACCTAACCAAAAAGTTGTACAACTTGATGAAAAAAAGTGAAGGGCTCCCTCATGCAATTTACTGCAAAGCCATCTCTAATGAAAAGCAATTCGCCACATTTTCTAAATTAGGGAAATTATTCCGCTGAGACCTCTCATTTCTCGCTCTTATCACAAGACCCACTAACTCGTGTTCTAAATGAGCCAGTGGTCGACGTTGCCATGCCAGGCCAGCAGAATTTTTTTAATTTCATATGGCATGATTTTTTAGATCGAATCATCATTTTAGTTAACACCTTTTGTACTTCAACAAATACTAAATGCAAAACAAGCAAACTTAGGAGGCCGATTCGAATAATTACCACTAGACAAGTAATCTTGAACTCCTTTGGTGCTCTCTAAATAACTAAGAAAATCAGAGGATAATATACTAAGAATAACTTTATATTGCGGCAAAGAGAAGCAAATATTTATAATTGACCAATAAATTGTTACATCGCCAGATCATCGTATATTTAGAGACATCACAACTCCAGGTCATATGAAATTGAGACGACCCACTATGTGATGTTGGCATTGTTTAACCAGAAGATACCTCCCCGATCATTAGTGTTGACAACTCAATCAAGGGCAATCCGCATGCTTGTGCTCGACATCTTCTGATAGAAAATCAGGAAAATGCACTTGCAGTCCTTCATGTAACAAATAGCGATAATACAATCCAACAAAATCATAGAATGATTTATTTCAATGGAGTTGAACATTTGTATTCTTATATATATGTGTGTGTCCTGCAAAAAGAATTGTTTCAAGACCAACAACAGTATCTTGTGTCCACAAGCCTAAACATATATGTATCACTG